TTTGAAGATGCACATAAAAATTACTTTTAGAGGCCCATATGCTCAGAGAGGCATTGCTTTAATGTTCCATTTTGAATCACTTATGGCAAAATGTTGAACTAAAAACAGTTGGGATTTTGGAATAAAAATGTAAGCCTGTAGATCCAAAGTTATGTCATCAGATTTGACCTTTCACCTTAAATGTTAGGCCTTAAGCCCTTTGACTTTTAATACAACAAAGGATGACAAACAATGAAACCTATTTAGATGCATCCTTAAATATGGTATTTTACACTTTTTTTAAAAACTCTAAGCCATCTTAACGGTAAACCACTAAAACATTAAACCACTGCGGTTTTCTCAAATTATGTTTTGATTTATACATTTAGTATACATTAACTGCTGTCTTGTTTTCAAATCCAGACTCATGACCTGTATTCATTACATTTTTATTTTAAGAATACTAAAGACATGAGCAGACTGCACATGCTTGTCATCAAGATTTATTTGTGTATGCCAACCTTCCTATTAACTGTTGCACTGCAGCAACGAAATGAATAATTAATGACAATGTGATTCTTTATTATGAGTTTAGCAAAGCCCAAAGCAATTATGGCAGAAATCTAGACATAGAAATGAACAGTTTCTATGCAGAATTAACTTTTCAATGTCATGTTTCAGAGCGAATATGCATACATTAATGCTAATAGCCTATTTTATACTGCCTCCAGTTTAGAGGGTTTCATTTCTTCAAATTGATCCATTACCAAAATAAATTAGAGCTTTTCTAAATTTCTGGTGAATGTAATTCCACCATTGTTATCATTATGTAAATAGCCATACAACATTATAATTTTCATCTGTTATGAAGGCCATACAATTACTCAACAAGATTGCATTCTCAGTGTATTGCTGAAGTATTACTACATTATTAAAGCATTACTATTGTATTAAAGCAGTTTCGCTTTTTAAAGAGTGCATTGCCATACTGTTAGTTGTTGTATGTTATATTCAAGTGGCCACCTAATCTATCTTAATTTTTGCCTGGATTATGATATTCTGTTTTGTATTAGCAGAAGTTAATGACATTGAAATTACATTTTTTGGAATACACAGTGTCTTAAAAATGTATTGAAAAACCCCTTTAAAATTATCTTATTTTAAAATGTATATACTGCATTTGCATATAAATATGGCAATATTTCAACATGCTATTGTTTTGTTGTAATATTCTTAAGTTCAAAAATAAAATATAAAAAATTAAATATTCTGTCAGCATTATTTAATTGAGCTAGAATTGTGAATTGTCAAAATGAAAAATATGTTAAGGGTAAAAAAAATACAATATTAAAGGATCTTTCTGGCCTGCAGAATAGCTGTATGATAAATGTAGAGCTACAGTAAAACATTTTATGAACGGTACTACAGAGCAAAACCAAGCTTTTGGATATTCCAGTTACTATATGGGAATGTGTCTCAACAAGGCTGTTAAAGCAAGTCACGAAATTGCCAAAAAAAAACAAAAAAAATCATTACAAGACACAGCTTTTTTATCCAAAATGTTAAAATATAGCCATGTCCATAAACCAAAATAAACAGTCCAAAATCACACCTGGACATTGTGTAAATCTAGCCATATTGCTGTGAACAATGTCTGTATAATCTATTACAGAGTGTAATTACATGTTAAGTAACATATTTCTGCTGTTGATTTTTGTAAAATGTATATCATATTAAGCCTTGGTTCTTTTATATATAATATAATATGGGAATTGTTAATGGGTAAATCAGAGAACTGGTTGTGAATATGTTAGTAAGGCACAGTACATACAGAGATTGTGAGCTGAAACACACAGAACTGAAGTTATTCAGCCCCATTCCTGTTCTCTCTTGGTTTTAAAGCCTCGGGAAGGCAGCTGAGTCTCTGTTGAATAATAGATTACAGAGAGCAGAGCTGGATGCAGCTGGCCACGCTGCTTTTGTATCAGTTGGCTTGTTCGGCACAAAGCCTCTCTCTCTCTGCAGCTACAACTTCAAACACTCACTTTCATCACACTTTCACCCAGGCCAAATATTTATGCATATCCTTTCTTACATAAGCTATGCATACTGTTTGTGTGCTTGGCGTGTTACAAATGACAGCATATCTATTATGCAAAACTCATATGCATGAAAGGATAGGCTGGGAAATGAATTATGAACTAATATCAGTCATTTGCATAATAGTATGTTTCTGAATGATAATGTGAGCACAGTATTTGACTTGTGAGACATTTACATAAGAAGTCTAATTATTTAAGCAGTGTTTCAAAGCTATCTGCATGCAGCCAATCACGGATCGCCACACTCGCTTGCATCACAGTGTTCTTTATTTACAAAACAGCCTGAGGAAGATGACCAGCAATCAGTCTGGCAAGAAAAGACCCTGTGTACCTCTTACAAACTGCACAGTATATCATAGTCATTCATGTGGCATTTGATGGATGGTCCACTGAAATACAGGATGAGAATCTCTCTAAAAGAGACACATTGAGGCACCAAGTATGATATATATGGAAGCCTGTTTTGTCACCACGGAATAAAAAAATAATGAAATAAATAAGTAAAAAGGTAACTGTGACTTTATACTGCTCAGTACTGACTTTTTCTCACAAAAATAAAAAGTCACAGTTTACTTTGTATTCTGTGGTGTAAACAAAAAGCAAAATTACGAGATGTAAATTCAGAATTGCAAAATACTGTATAAACACAGAATTCAGATTTCTCGCATGTCTGGGTTTACATCTCACAATTCTTTTTTTTTCTTTTTTTCTTTTTACCACAGAACACATTTTTTAAAATTATTTATCTTACCATTACGACTTTTTCCTCACAATTGCACGTTTATATCTCACAGTTCTGACCTTTTTTCTCAGAAAATATATATTTGTGTGTATATGACTGTATATCTTGTAGTTTTGATTTTCGTGATTTCTTGATATATAAATCAGAATTGCGAATAAAAGGTCCAAACTGTGAAAGAAAAAGTCGCAATTACTTTATTTATTTATTTATTTGAAATCCTGTGGGTCGGAAACAAGCATGAACATTTTATGTTAGCTAATAAAATATAAAGCTATTTCTGGCCTTCTTTTTTTTAGTGTATGAATATAAATGGTTTCCTTTTCTTTTTTTTAAATGTCAATTCATAATAAATGCAAAAATAATTACATTTCATTTGAATAAGGCAGACAGATTGAACTGAAAGAGCATAATCTAACTGTGTGCACAAAAAACAAACAAACAAACATTAGTAGCACGACTGCAACACAACCCGAGTATATAACTCCCATTTAAAGCAGAAAGCTGCTGTTGTCAAAGCTCTGCTGCATGCATTTCATGGCATTTGTAATGCATTCAAAAAATACAATAAATTTCACATACTAAATTGTAACATGTGAGAAAATTAAACACTGAAACTCACATGCCAACAACAGGTTTCAGTTTTGCATGCAACAAATTCAGGTTTTTAGTACTGTGACAATCAACTTTGGTTCATCTTGGAATCAGCTATCAAGGACATATTCCTAATAGCTGGTTTAAGACAGATGACTTCACATTCATTCCGGATAATCTTCTGTTTGCCACCTGAACAGTTGATATTTGATCTTATGCAATAAATCTACATTTACTGTATTTTTGCAGTGAATGTTGCAGTAATGTAGCCTATACTGTTTTACGAGGACCTGACTGACAGGTACATGAGACTAAGGATGCATACACAAACATTAAACAATGCTTATGTACAATGTTCAGTGTTGCTTCCATGCAAGTCTAAAGAAACAACAGCAAAAGGTCACAGTGATATTAATTTATACATTCATCAAATCAATGCTCAGTTGCTGCATCTCAAGCGTAGGAATCCTCTCAGCAACTCTGTTCTATATTTATGTAATGCCAGGCTTTGTGAAAGCAAATTTGTAACTTGCAATATAGCAGCACTGAACAACATCTGAGCATTTGAAACACTTTACTGCTAATTCTCACATTTAATTTCTGTGCACCTGAATGTGTTATGTCACATATGCCATTATATATTATATATATATATATTTTTTTTTATAGATAAAATCTCAAAAATATGGGTTCTTAATAAACATTTCCTTTTTAAAAACAGACAAATGTTTTTAAATTGTGCTGTAAATGCCTGAAGTAATTTCAATAGAAATACTGTCAATCTCAAAGCAGCCCACATAAAAAAAGGTTGGTTAATAACGGGTTTTTTCATATATAAATATAGCAAAGTTGTCACATACCTCATTACTAAGTGCAGGGTTTCTCAAATGTGGGTTCGCAAACCCCTGGGGGTTCATGAGGGATCTGCAGGGGCTTCATGAGTTGATGAAAAGCTAATAATTAATTAAATTAAATTAAATATACAACTAAAATAAATAAATGGGGTTGCATACTTCATCAAAATTAAACAGAAATCATGATATGGCTTAGTGTGATTATCACATTCAAGGCTGCACTTTAAATAAGATCTGTAAAATGAATAAGTTAGTGTAAAATGACATTTTTACAATTATCAATTATTAATGACTTAATTTTTATCATTTGTGTTAAAATAATAATAATAGTAACAATAAAGACCCTGTACAAGGTCTTAGTACGTTTCAGCAGCAGCAATATAAGATGTTGTCTTATGAGATGAAATGTCATATCACTCTTAAAATCGCCATATATGTCAAAATAATGGAGTATATTTTCTAGACAAGTTGTGTCCAAAAGTATATTTAAAAATTATATGCAGTATTTAAATAATTTTAAAATAAGAACAATCAAACTAAAACATAAAAAAAAAAAAAAAGATAAAATATTTAATCTGTTTTGTTAAAGTTATTTGACCTTTAACCAACATCAGATAATTGGGAATATGCAAATCTGTTGTTAAATTATTAAAATATTAACTTAAAATCTCAGAGTATAAGAGGTTCGGCAGACAAAATAGTTTGGGAACCCCTGACTCAGTGGGCCGTCCTTTAATGTCACATCACGCTTCTTATTTGTAATTGGCTACTGTGGCTTGATTTGGCTCCACACAGTGGGTGGAGTCTTCACTCTGATTGGTTGCCTCACTCTGACTTGATTCTGGCTCATGGGTGGAGTCTGAACTCTGAGACGATTCTGTCTCTCCTGCCTCCAGACTGGAGATACACTCAGAGGCTCTCCGTGTTTGCTGATAGGACAGACAAAGCTCCTCCCACTTCTTTCGGTTGGCATCAATTCCATCTACCATCGGCTGAAGCTTCCTATTCAACTTCACAAGAGCCTATAAAATACATTACCATCACTGTATAAAAGTTAATTAGCTTGAGTCAATTCATTTGCTTTATCTACTTAACTCTTTTACCTCATATAATGGCTTACAAATTCCATCAATCCATTCCAACTGAAGCACAGGGAGCTCATCTTTACGATTGCGATCAAAAATAGCCTGAATAAGCAAAATTCATTGATTTTGGCTTGGATTGAGATGATTGTCATTTCAGCAAATTTAACTTAAAACATGTGAGAGAATACATACAGCTGGTGTCAATTTCAGCTCTGATCTCTCCCTGTCACCTTGTTCAAAGAATTCACTGGTCACCAATTCAGCCACCTGGAATTAGAAACATAGAGATATGACATTATTTTAAAGTCCACTATGATATGTTCCCATATGCTGCAGTGGTTTCAGAGAATATACAGTACTATAATTTTCTTACCCTATATTATATTTATATTTTCTATAGAATATACTGTTTTTCACAATTTGGTATGTGCATTTATTTTGCAGTGTCTGTCTAACCTGTTTTGAGATTTCCCATGGTCGGGTCACTGCACCCAAGTCACACGCAGTCATCAGCATAGACCTAGTATGTTTAAATATTTAGAACATTTACAACAGCTCTTGGCATTTCTGTTATATATTTTAAAAGTTGTAGACACTCACCTGAACATGTCTCTATGTTCTTCATTACTCCAACTGAACTGCCCCGACAGAACACACTCAAAGAACTGGGTTCTTCTTCTTTTATATCCAATGGATAATGAAGATGATGAAGAAAAAAGATTCAAAAATAAATTTTAGATTTTATCATTTAAGTAAATTTTATTTAATGTTCCTTAAGGCATCTTTCAGGTCTTCACCAGGCTTTCAGGATCTGAACAAAAGCCACAAAAGTGGCTTAATATCACCTCTTCTGCCTCTATTCAAAGGGCGCCTCTCTGTGGCCTAAACGTAAATTACATGCATCTGGCAGAATATTTAAAGCTGGGTTAAAGCTGAGGGCTACCCCTTATTATGACTATTGAAACATGTATGCTATTTGATACTATTACTTACTTGAAATACAACGTGAGATCTGTGGACAGAATGGCCTGTTTCAGTAGCTGCATCATGTTGCTGTACTCTTTGGAGGACAGATTAGCAAAAATGTTATGACCCTGTTAAAAAAAAAATTAGAAAAAGGTGACAAATATTACAGATTAAAGTTGTTATTTCCAATAGTAAGGGGAGACTGAGGCAAGAGGTCTAAATTGGAAAACTGGGTCACTCGCTTAATCTAGTGCAAATGCATGACTAACATTTCATATTCCCTTTTATTTAAGAGAAAAACGATTTGGTTTGTCCTTTATAATCAGTGCACCTTTTATGTCCACATTTGTCTTTGATCATTTACAATGGCACAGCTTACCGCTAATGTGAGTCAACTTATCTTTGTAAAATCTCAGCGGGGAAGAAGTCATATTTCCGTGGCCCTGTGCTTTCAGTTAACTTTAGTTGATAACAGACACGTTTAAACATAATTAGATCTATTAATTTTAGCATTATCTAATTTTACTCTTTCCTAGAGGACAGCTTAAACCTGTAAAGCCTGACATTCTGTATGGAATAATAGTCCAAAATATATATTTTTCTTTTTTTGAGCATCATATTTGATACATCAGGCTTTTATGGGTAATTTAGTATGATACGGGAGAATATGGAGTAAAAAAACACCTTAGTTTTATTCAGAGGCCCAAATTGAGCAAAATATGCAATTTGGTGCAGTTGCTGATATTTATATGGCCAAAAAGGTTGTTTTAAATTATGACAGCTTGTTATGTAAATAAATGAGATCTTTATGACAGTATAGCAGTCTACTTACATAAAATGCGTACAAATATAGTGTCCATATCTATACAAATATCAGTAATGTGTCTTAGTAAGATTAGATTTAAATGCTTAGTTTTATTATCAAAGTTTTGTAGTTTTTATTGTGGGGGAAATATTTAGGGAAATGCAATACAATGATGACAAAGCGATGTACAAATAAATGCTCCTCAAAAGCCTGATGTGTCATATTTTATTTTATAATCAATAATCAGTATGTTGCTTTAGTCCAGTAAGTGCTCATATTGATATATTACTAGCAATATAAAATGTATTCTTATGTTTACTTTATAAAAATCTGTCAAAATGTCACAGCAAAATATATGTTTTCCACAACCTGTGGATTTTTTATAATTATACTAAAAGGCCTTTTACATGCTAACAAATATATAAACTGTCAATCAAATGACAAAAGGCACTTAAAAGCTCATGTTCTCATTTAGAGGCCTTTGAAATTTGTGTATCAAATACAGTATGAGACAGTAGGCATTATAGGGTTAAGTAAAATGTGGCACAGCTTACCCCACTCTCTTAAGGTCTACAGTAAGTGAAGTTTGGGGAAAGCACACCCCTCATTCCAAGTTATATTACTCCTACAAAGCCCTGTCTTTTCTGCTGATATAAAGCCAATCATGAAACCAGTAATCACTTCATACCCCTGAGTATCATTCATAAAGTGTGTGTCTCCAAAGTTCTCTATGTTCAGTCTCTGGGATAGAAAGCTATTTCTTTCTCGCCTTGCTTCAGTGCAGCTGACCCAAGAGGGGAATCTCCTTAGCACAGTTAATTGGTGTTGGTTAAAAAAGCTCAATGGACGTCTACAGGAAATCGATATAGAGCTTGGTCATGATTAAACAGCTCAGAGCTAAATCAGCCACTTAATCAAATGCTGACATCCACTTGCATTCTTTCCATCCACTGAGACATGCAAATGTGGACAGGGGTAAAATGGGTAATTTCTGCAAATCAATTATGTGAGAGGGACTCATTATTACTCCATTGCTTGACAATGTTCATTGTGCTCTGCAGATCCTTCTTTACACATACAGGGGAGTTCAAAATTGTGTGAATAACAATTTCAGTGAAAAGTCAAATTTAAAAACTAACATGAATTTGTACATATCATTTCTTTCAGTTGCTTTACTGATAGCAGCATTTGAGCTGCATGAGCTACACAACTTTGTGTACAATAATCCTGTTATGCACATATTCAAAAATGATCTTGTTCTTGAATAGTGTGGAATTTGAAAAATGTATTCTTCATTTTATATAATAATGTCTATGTTTTTATTTTTAGAAAGCCCAAAACTTTGATTGTTCACATTTATCACATTTATTATTTTTTTATGTATCAAAATTGAAATATCAGACTTTTACTTCTGTACTGCTAAGTGCTCAGTGCTGTGCCCCTCTTCTGAGACCTGACCTGACAGACATGCTAGTTCATGCTATTTGCTCACCTCACTCTGCAGGATCATGACAGCATGGTTGAAATGATGATGCTCTAGTGTAGCAGATGTTCCGTACAGCAGCGCTAGTGCTGACCCAGACCTTTGGGACCACAACAGAGATCAGATAGAGAACAATAAGCACATTATATGTTGCTCTAGAAACACACAGGTCCCACTATATAGACTGCACTACAAAAAAGTGCAGTCTTGTTTTCCATAAAACCTTAAAGCTAAACAGATATGCTTAAGAGACTTTCCAAAAAATAATAAGTCTTTAACATTGATAATAATAAGAATTGTTTCTTAAGTACCAAATCATCATATTAAAATGATTTCTGAAGGATTGTGTGACACTGAAGACTGGAGTAATGATGCCGAAAATTCAGCTTTGCATCACAGGTATAAAGTACATTTTAAAATATATTAAAATAGAAAACAGTTATTTTGAATTGCAATAATATTTGAAAATATTACTATTGTTGCTGTATTTATATTTGAATAAATGCAGCCGTGGTGCATTAAGCATAAAAGGTGTTTTTTTAAAAACATAAAAAAATCTTACCAACCCCAAGCTTGGTAAATTATTTATTGTTTTTAGAATATTTTGATATTTTGACTGACAAAAAAAAACACATCTGATTTAAGACATAAGAATACAATGCTAAATGCAAATAACAAAATGCAACTAGTCATGTAAACATGCATAATTAAGATAGCAAAAAAAAGGACTTTAGCCTTTAAAAAGGAGGAGAAAACACCTCCCGTATCTTTTGTTGTTGTCGTTAAAGGCTGTGCAGCCAATCAAACTCCACAGTATTACCACAAATTGGTCAGTCAGTAGAAGTTAGTCATATTAGACCAGGGTTCGGCAACCTTTTGGGCATGAAGTGCCATTTTTTATTTTTCTGGTTAACCTCTGTGCCAATAAACCCCCCACCCCCCATGTTCTGCTAAAAATCTGAATTTGATTATCATACAAATAGTGCAGAATCTTAAATATTTCTGATGCATATTTTCATAAATAGTTTTTGAAACTTTTCAAAATTTGTTTATTTTAATGTTTAAATTAGACTTTGAATAACAGATTTACAGTGTGACCTTACTGAAAGCCACTTTATGTATGTGTGTGTATGAATGTTGCTGTTCACACAACACCGTCATTGTGATTTGTGTGTGTAACAGAGGTCAGCTGGTAAATGCTGTGCAGGTAAACCTCACTTCCCTGATCTCAAGCTAGCGACAGACGTCATAGTCTGTGGTCTTTAGCGTTCTCGTTAGTGTGCCTGCCTCCCATGCTGGCGACCTGGGTTCAAATCCCACTAGGAACAAGAATGAGGTGGGGCGGTTAGGACTGGAAGAGTTACATTGGTGCCGTGACCCGGATGGGAGTGAGGTTTAGGGGGGTGAGTGTAACGGAAGTGCTGTGCGGTTAAACCTCACTGAAACCTCTGATTTCAAGAGGCGCACTAGCGACTGACGCTAGAGGCTGTGTTCTCGTTAGCCTCCGACGCAGGCGGTCCTGGTTCGAATCCCACTGGGAACAAGAACGAGGCGGGGCAGTTAGGACTAGAGGAGTTACACTGGTGCTGTGACCCAGATGGAAGTGAGGTTTAGGTGAGTGTAACAGAGGTCAGCTGGAAAGTGCTGTGCTGTGTGTGGTCTTTAGCATTCTTGTTAGTGCACGCCTCCCATGCTAGTGTCCTGGGTTCGAGTCCCACTCAGAACAAGAATGAGGCGGGGCGGTTAGGACCGGAGGAGTTAAATATAGAATGTTAAGAACTTTGTATACTGACCTAATAAATTTTGTAGCGGTAATTTACTAGCGGTGACTGAAGGTAAACAGACATGACCTATGCGAACGCACGGCGGAGCATTGATCTGAAGCACCTCGTATACACAGCAGTTGCGCCTGGTTTGCCGGAGGCATGCACATCTGTAGACTTGGGCAGGTTAGTTTGCACACTTTAATAGTATTTATAGCTCCTAACAGGCTGTGCGACTACGAGGAATGATTACCTCAAAATGTACGTCAGTATGCAGTTTTCCCTATTGCTCAAGTGCCAGTGATTATCCCTCTGTGTGCCAACGTTGGCACACATGCCATAGGTTGCCGACCCCTGTATTAGACAGATGCCAACATTAACAGGTTAGATGATATGCGTTATTCATGAACACCATGAATAACTTTACTTTTAGATTACAATTTTGGTACTGTGTTGGGTCATCATTTGATGTGCAATGTAAAATCTTGGCTAAACATGTTAAGAGCCACTGACCTAATTTACATTGACTGACTTTTCACTCACTTTGCCTGAAAGGCGTTATTTGTGCCACGATGGTCCAGGTCATGGCAGAAACACCCAACCATAAGAGCGAGAGTCTCTGTGTCTGTCAGCACCTCCTGGAACCCAGCAGTCTGGACCACAACAGAGAAACCTACTACTACATATCCTCCAATTCAGTGATTAAATTATGGCTTGAAAGATCATTGTTGATTTAAACTATGTGCTTTTAGAGCCATTACCTGAGAATATCATTACAGGCATAGTTCACCCAAAAATGAAAGTCCTGTCATCATTTACTGTCAATAACATTATTTGGAATAAGTTCCAAACTTTCTTTTCTCTGTTGAACTCCAAAGGTGTTTATCTCTTCCATATGATAAAGTGGATGTGGACAGGGGCTGTGAAGCTCCAAAAAGGCAAAAAGCACCTTAAAACCATTATAAAGGTAATCTATATGACTTGTTTGCAATATAGTCAAACAATAGCTTTGTGTGAGGAACAGCCAATTCAAGCCATTATTCACAAAAAATACTACATTCCCTTGTGAAAAAGAAATGCCCTTTAGCATACTTGATATTTACTTTTAAGTTTTATTTAATTTAAATTTGTAATGGAAATAATATACTTGAAAAAATACACTGTCAGGATTATAGCCTGTTTTGTTTTGTTTTATTTCATATGCCTTTGTTGCCTGTCTGTTTCTTTGGTTCCCATTTCTATGGTTTCTGATTAGCCTGCACCTGTTTCTGTTCTCCCTGATTACACTCCCTGTATATTTAAGCCCTGCGTTTCCTTAGTTCTTCTGTTCTCGTCTGTGAAAAGATGTTGTGTGATCTGTTTTCTGAATGAGTTTGTATTGATCTTTTGGATAATTTATCTTTTTGCACTACTTACTGCAACCCTATGTGACACATACTAACACATACAGATGCTAACTGAATGTAATGTTTTGGGCACATTCATTCACTGAAATGTGGTTATTGCCAATGTACTGACAAGCATTTATGGTAAACTACAATGTTCTTGTATAAAGTAATTTCTGTTGAAACTTGTTTCCAATGTATTTAAATATATTGGTAGCACTTCATTTTACAATCCTGTTCCGCATGTACATACCATGTACTTGTAGTAAGTAAAATAACTGAGTAATAACTAGGTACTAACACTAAACTTTCCCCAAAACCTAACCCATAGTTACCTTATATTATCCAGTACTTTCTTAGGTAAGTACACTGTAAGTACAGGTAAATGCACATACTGTATAATAAAGTGGAACCAATATATTTGTAATTAAACATTTGTAATAATGAAGTTGCAATTGAATACATTTAAAATATATTAACTCTGTAATATCAAATAACATATTACAGTTAAAATTATAAAGTACTTTAGTGCTTTAGTGTGTTAGCCAAAACTCAACACATTGGAATAAGTGTACTTCTTTAAAGCACAACAAAGGATTACTAATTAGTAAAACATAATGATTTAAAATGTACTTTAAAGTAAAACTTTTAATTTTACAATATTACAGTGCACATAAAAGTGTATTTAAGTGTGTTAAGGAGCAGTCATGAAAGTATACTCTATTTAAGCACACTTAAGTAAAGTTTAAAAAATATATACTTTATACTTATACGATTTGAAGTACACTATTTAAAGTGTACAGTTTTCACAAGGGTTGGCAATAACGGTCACCATTCACTGTGTGCAAAAGATCAGCTTATGTTCTACTATTTTTATGCTGCACAGAAGAAGAAAGTCATACAGGTTTTGACCAAACATTAGAGTGATTAAATGATGACTTTTCATTCATAAATGAACTAGCAAACCTCATATTTCAGGCCACATCGATCATCATCTGTGACTTACGGTGATCATAACAAACATGCACTGCGAGACGTTGAAGGCATGCCTCCAGTTGTGATAGGCCACGGTGCGGTAGTTCTTCCTCACGGTAAGCAGCCAGCGGCACAGCACCTGAGCAGGAAAAAAAAACGCACACTATAGTATTCACACCATAGCTCCAGACCCCCTCAACTGTGTTCCAATCCATCATCCATAACCCAGCACTCCCTGCTGCACACAGCATACATATGTAAGCAGAATTTCACTCTTCCAGTCAGTTGGCTTTTCACCCATGGTGATTGCCTCACCTCATAATCAATTTTGAATTTCTGCACGACACCAAGCTCCAAAAACATCCGCAGGGAGGCAGTGATCATGGCGTCATTGTCCAGAGAAAAGTCATTAAAGTGGAACTCATCGATCCCGAGCTCACTGCTTAGGGGAATCTTAGCAGCCTGAGAGAGGAGAGGGGACAATCTCAGCAACTCCAATAGCAAGGCAATTAAACACCAGAGCAGAGCCTGATCCACTGAGGGCTCAGACAGATAGAGTATATTACACTCTGCCATTTCAATTATTAATACTTCAACTCTCTCAAGTCTGAGACCCACCATCTATAAATTTCTAGGAAACTTTGGGGGCTAAGATGTTTTTTACACATCCATCTCTCTAATGTATGAGTTTAATTTGAAGTTTTCATCACGTCTCTCTGGAGAAAAGGTTTAAACATTCTATATGCTACTGATCTGTGAATCTTATACCAGCCTTTTAAGGGTGTGTTGTATCACATTTTGCAACACTACAGAATCTAGCTCTATACAATATGTTGTTGATATTCAATTCATATGTGCTTTAGTACATTACATTACATTACATCATATTACCAAAGCATTTCTAATATTTATAAAAAAAGTCTAGAACTGATATTGAATAAAAATAGTAAAATTGTAAATTACAAATGATAAAATGAGTAAGTAGTTTTAGTTTTAGTTTTACTCTTGCTATATTTATAGTTATAGCTTTATTGTTAGGCAATATTTTTTTAAGTTTTAAATTAAGATACATGTTAAAAAATAAAGAAATAAGAAAAAAAAGCAATCAATAAAATAATTTTTGTTGTTCCTTGGACGCATTTTTTTTTAATTAAGAAATTTACTTGAAATACACTACAATCTAAGTCTCGTATGCTCACCAAAGCTGCATTAAAAAAAAAAAAAATCTGTAAAATAGCATACAAATAATACAGTAAAATGAGTAATATTGTGAAATATTCTGCCTGTTGGTTCCCCAAGACGGGCTGCCAACTAAGCCTGGTGCTGAGAACCGAATCTCTGATGCTGCCTGCTTTGAGTCCCTTCACTCTGCTTGCATGCTCTGCTGTTCTCTGCTCTGGGTTTCTCCCCATCTTTCCGCCCCAATTTGACCAACGACTGAGACTGTGGCCCAGACTGTCTACCCCTCAGGGCATTGACCTTTCCCTGCTGGTTGGAGCTGTCCCAAGATTGTCAACCCCTGTGCTGTGAACTTGTGTGTCTTCAATAAATCTTGTTTCACTCACTCTGCATTTGGGTCCCTTCCTGTTGACCCTGACAATATTATTACTATTTTCTATTTTAACATATTTTAAAATGTAATTTCTTCCTGTGATGGCAAAGTTGAATTTTCAGCAGCCATTCCTTCAATCTTCAGTGTCTCATGATCCTTCAAAAAATTATTCTAATATGCAGATTTGTTGCTCAAGAAATATTTCTTACTACTATGTTGAAACAGTTGTGTGGCTTTATGTTTTTGTGGAAACTGTGATACATTTTTTCAAGATTCTTTGATTAATAGAAAGTTCAAAAGAACAGTATTTGAAATAGAAATCTTTATAACATTATAAATGTCTGTCATTTTATGACCGTGTCTGTAATTTTTCGGTATTACTGAATAATATGAATTTTCGAAAGGTATAGAAAATATATAACTGGTCAAAAATGTTAGCGTATGTAAAACATTGTTTTACATATAAATAATGAATTTAAAACACTAGTATATTTTCAGTGCTGATGCATCTAGTTTGTATGGACTTAATTTCCATATTTTATCTTACCTTCAGTCGATCAACCTCTGCCTTGGAGCATGTAGCATGATAGGACAGCATCTGGAAAAGACAGAAACAACAATACACTATGCACATTATGTAACCATACCACGCATGCACAATAAATTCTTTCTACTGGTCTGACAGATTTATATGCAGGCAAACAATGTAGCTGTTATGTTAATAAGCAGTTTAAAACATAAAAAGAATATACCAATGAGAGATATTACTCACATCTAGAGCCACAGACTGCTTGGCCCAAGTCTTTTTCACCTGGTTATACATCATTGTGTTGTTAATGCCCAGACCACAGAAAATAACAAATGCCTGTGAGGATCAACGGAAATGAAAATTACTCATGCGTATGATTTATGAAAGCATCAGTAGTGTAAGTAAGTATGTACGGTATGTAAAATATTGATTGGTCATTTTATTCCAACATCAAATGTTTGAATAAAGTCACACCTCAAATAATCTTTGATCTGCATCATTAAATGTCTTCCTGTCCAAGCGATTCAGAATCTGGGCCACACCTAATGAAAGTAGGATGTTATTTTAGTTGTTTTTGTGGGTTTGTATATAAGCAATTAAGCATTTGTGTGGGGAAACTCACCAATAATCTGATGTGTCCGATTCCAGATGGGGACACATAAAACTGATCTGATATGGAAACCAGAAGCCTGGTCCGCCTGAGTAAGAAACACAATGCTCAGATGATGCGTGTGTGTGTGTGTGTGTGTGTGTGTATGAATACACTTGGGTTCATATACGTGCTTAAAGGTGATTACACCCTTGTGAAAAAGAAGTGCACTTAATTGAATTGAATGTGTACTTGCAGTGTACTTTAAATCTTAAAAGTGTAAAGCCATTGGAGTTTAGTGAAAGAAAGTACACTTCTATGATTTCTTTACACACGTAAAAAGTGTAGTTTGTAATAATGTCAAATTAAAAGCTCTACTTTAAAATACATTTTAAATAATTGTTTTAATAATCTTTTGTCATTCTTTAAAGAAGGACAGTTCTTTTGATGTGTTGACTAACAAACTAAAGATAAAAGATGGCATAAAAGTTTCAATAAAAATAACATTTTGTACATTTTAGTTTACCATAAATTTTTTGCCAGTACATTCAGCAGAACACTAGCAATATTTCAAAAATAATTGAAGTAGTTCAAAGTAATTAAAAGTAATTATGTTTTACTGTTATTAAGTCCTTCTGAAGTGGGTCAAAACAGCACTTTTTAGTTCAACTAATTTTATGTAATATTAATTTAAATGATAATTTAATTTAATTGTAAATAAACAGTGTCTAAAAACATTACAGTCAGTCTACACTTAAGTATATTATTTTAAAGTATATTTTTCCAGGGCCCTGACTTAAACCCAATTGAGCATCTCTGGAGAGACCTAAAAATTGCTGTTCACCAACGTTTACCATCCAACCTGACCGAACTGGAGAGGATCTGCAAGGAGGGATGGCAGAGGATCCCCAAATCCAGGTGTGAAAAACTTGTTGCATCTTTCCCAAAAAGACTCATGGCTGTATTAGATCAAAAGGGTGCTTCTACTAAATACTGAGCAAAGGGTCTGAATACTTAGGACCATGTGATATTTCAGTTTTTCTTTTTTAATAAATCTGCAAAAATGTCTTTCCGTACCCACTGTATATGTATATTATACATAGTATATTATATTAAGTAATCTTTTAAGTATGCTCAAGTCTACTTCTTTTTCACCAGGGCACACTAGATTACTGCTGCTAGAATGTGAGAGATGTGCAGTTGAGGTTGGAACTGCTCTTTCGATCAGACCAAGCGATCAAAACGAACGTGAAACCTTAGTGGGTGGTTTCTTAGTCTGCTTTCTTAGTGGGTGTGTTCTGCTCACCTCAGCATCAAAGCGGGGATCCTGACAGACGTCACTGATGTTAACAGGCAGCCCGGTTGATGCTACCAACTCAGCAATGCTGTTATTGATCAGCCAGTCCGAGCAAGACACCTTCTCCATGCTGACTTTGTCAAATGCACCCACATACACACAAACACATACTGAGCCTGGTATACATTATTGGACATCCCTCTTACATTACACATGCTAAAAAAATACACATTTAGCAGTTTGTAAAAGGCCTGTTATTCTCACCTGATGTCATGATCAACGCTGCACAGTGGAGACATGAGCTCAAACGTCTGGGAGAACTTGACTACCTATGAACACAGCAAAAGAACAACTAGATCTTTATATATCTGAAGCAAATGTGGGTAGTGTTTGCTGTAAAACATTTGCTGCTACAATGCTTGGGTCTTTTTCAGGACATTGCTTAGGTGTTCTGAGCATTTTTATTGCGTTGCATTTCAGTTGCTAGGGTTTTCTGGGTGGTTGCGATATGATTGCTTACTGGTTTCAAGATATATTGTGATATTCTGGTATCTATATGGCTTGGGTCCATCTTTTAAATATAAGTCTGAGGTGTATTTACAATCAGTTTTATTGTTCATCAGTCATCATAAATCTGATTGCTTATAAATGCATGAGTTTAGGGAGAAGTGTGGTTGATACATTATTTGAAAACACACATATAATGACTATTTTAAACTAATTATGGATTTTACCAGATAATATAAAATATTCGTTAGACTGATTATCCAACAAGCAATAGGATGAACTGATATTGTAATGAACTCAAATTTAGCAATTTCTGACTATTTACGGTGATTTTCTTTCTAAATCAAAGCGAACAGTTAATGTTATGTCGCATTCAACATGCAGACACAGAGCATCATCTGTATAACACTATTTTCCTTGCTTCTTATCAGGTGTGCAACAACTTCTTCTGTGATAACACTGGACTATCAAGTGCTGAAGCACGGTGCCCTCTACTGGATGAATGGTATATATATAGTCAGTGACAACAAAGAAAAGAAAGCACAGAAAAAGCAAAGAAAAAGCACAGACTGCTGTTTCTTTATAAAGTCTAGCTATATAGAGCACTACAATGCTGACGTATTTTGTAGGCCAACCCAGAAGTTAACATCACCCAGGTTCCTTTGACAAAAATCCAATAGGATTTTTCCACTGGCTTTTGGATTGTTGTAGAAAATGCTTTGTTCATCATGATAATCTTCACAAATGAAGTTTCAGTCTTTATTTTAAATTCTGAATGGTTTGATTTATAATACTTTGCAGGAGCACGATTTTAAATACAATGAGGCTGTAAAAGTGGACTAATGAGTAGATGGGACCTTAATGACCCAACAACCTCTTTATTCCCATTTCGCTACTTGTTAGCAACCACCTTTTTTAAAAAGCTTTTTAAAAAATCACAAGGTGGTATACTGATGATAGAATAATTCATCAAAATATCATAAACCTTTGTAAACTAAACCAAAAACCCATTCAAAAATCTATTGACTTCAGGATAATTGATCTAATTTATGTGTTTATATGTCATCCCTGCAGTACTCTATTGTCATTATATTACAGATTCAAACATAGTTTTTTTTATTTGCTTTTGTTTACAGAAAGTTATTTAGCTTTATTTTATATAAAAGTTATAATAACAAATATAATAAATAATTTAATGAATTATACAAATGGACTATAAATGGAATAGTTACATAAAATTGTGCTTTTCTCGTCTTTTTTTTTTTTTGTGTGTGACATAATTCCACTTTAAGCCCCGTGGAACTCCTAAGGTATCATTCCTGTCCATAGCACAAACGCAATGAGTTGCGTGCCACATTTCAATACTTAAGTGAACGTATTACTCTAAAAACTCTAAGAATCAGCAACAGTGATGCTCTCTTTACCAAACACCAGAGAAGTGTGAGAACATTGGACATAAAGACAATTGAGAAAGCCAATGAGAGGATGCCCAGCTGAATTAGTTAAGAATGGTGGAAGGTGGAATGGATAAAGATAAGAAAACACAGAAGAATAAGGATGGGCCAAATTCATGCCAGAAAAAAGAAAAGGAAGACTAAAAATCGATCTCACAGGAGAATGGATGTCTTCTAGCAGAAGCACCGAGCAGCGCTCACACTGAAGCAATGTCAGTGCACGCTGCATGATCTTTCTCACGATCTTCTCCAGGTCCGTCTGCTCCTCAAACAGATCATTCACCACCTCCAGCAGGGCCTTGAAGAACAGCAACAGCTCGAAATGTATACAGATAACACAGGCCTTCAAGCGGATTATTAAATATTTTAAACCTTGAGACTTGAAGATTGTAAACAAGCTTACAAAATCAAGCAACACACTGTCTGAGACGTCTAGAAGTCTAGAGGCAGATTTTGAATCAGTCTGAAAAACTGTGTTTTATTCAGCAACCTTTCTGCAGGTCTTGACTCACCCTGCTCCTCTCATACTCCTTCCGGGATTCGGAGAAGAGTTTGGCATTGGAGATCGATATTCCGCAGAATGGTAGATACATTTGCAGCACCTGTAGAGAGAAGTGTGATGCTTTCAAAGCTTCTTTCTGATGGATGCATGACGGTGAGATATTGAGAGGGGAAAAAAACTACAGCAGAAGAACTGGAGGCATAACATCAGTTCATCAGTTTATTTCTAGGGCATTTATAACAGCACAGCCTGTGTATCTGCTTTCAGCACTGCTTGGCATAAATAATTCTAAAGAGAAATTCTGTGCTATTAATTACTATCTATAGAGAGCTGTTTTGAAGCAGCGATGAAAGTGAAGGGATGAGATGTGCGGGTACAGACTGCTTCGTGCCCAGAGACTGCAGGACTGGATCTGCTGTACTGAAACTTAAAAGCTGATTCTGAGGTATGGCATTCACATGTGCTGTTTTAGCCAATGACAATGATGACCTCTGTTCTGTGAACAAGTTTGAGAAATTACTGGTAGGAAAGCAACACAGCAGGTGAATTTCAAATGGTGGTTTTGCGCCCTTGAAGGACACTTCAGGAAGGGTCACCATTTATAGGGGTGTTCCAAATGAAAGTAAACAACCGAATCCCTTCATGAAGGGCCTTTTCATAAAGGGCATATGTGAAGGTCACTTCAAAAAATAATTGTATCATTTATGGTCACGTGACCCGAGTCCTTGGATTACTTTTAAAGCTAGATAATTAGAGAATTCGAGTTAACATATAAACAGAATAATTCTAGTTGTTTTGTTTTATTGCAATATTTTACACACGTTTTGGTCATGCATTTCATCTGAAGTTTAAATATGTTTCATAGGTACGAAATGTGTTTAATAGTAGATACGTTAGGTAAATACAACTACCTGCAGGGTCTTTTATATTTGTATAACGTAGAAAGCAAAGATGGAACACACGTATATGTATAGTCTTGTTAGTAGAAATTAATTTATTTAGGTTGATTCATCAATATCAAGACTTAAAACCAGTTAACTTAGATGTTACTGTTTTTAGGTTACCATCTTTTTCAGTGTAAGAACAGCTAATGGTCGCAGAATTGCATTGCACTGTGCAATGTGCAAAATGACCACAGGGCTCCAATTGGTTATGCTCCTGTTTCTAAGGTTATGAATAAAGAATAAATCTTCAAATATGAATAACTAATTTTCTAAATCTATAACTACTTGTACTCCAGCATAGCAGGATATTCGCCAAGGTGCTAATTCATCGATCTCTTTTGATTTAGCAAAGCAATTACATTTGCACTCTACAGTTTCATTACCAGTTAAAGTTTGGGCAATATAATAATAGGCATCTAGAGAATGTACCAGGCTATAAATCCAGTAGCTGGAGCAGATACTTTAGAATATAATATCAGCATGAAGCCAAGAGAAAAGGAGAACAAAGCTTACTGTACCTTCTCATCATCCTCGGTGAATGGAGTTCCGCTGGGGTTCTTGTTGATGGCCTGTACTACACCGATGACTTCACCGTCACTGTTGCGGATGGTCATGCACAGAATGGACTGAGTCTTATAGCCCGTCAGCTTGTCAATTTCATCACTGAACCGATGGTCCTACACAATACACAGGAGGCACAACAATGTGGCTCGATGCAATAATCAATCACTGTATTACAATAGAAAATAATTGATGATGATCAGAAAATCTGTTGATAATTGGGATGTGTTTTGATTTATTATTGATTTCTTGTTATTTTTAAAGACAACTTAAAAATTGAAAATGTTTCCTTTTTTTTGCACATCACTCCCAGCTCCACTTATGTGCTTTACCTCTTTCAAATCTATAAGATAATTTGAAAAATAGTGCAGTAACACTTTATTTTACAGTGTTCTTGTTACATGTTACCTGTACTATAGTAATAACAGTAAATTTAGCATAAATACATGCAATTAACCCTAAACCAAATCTAATTTCAACCCTATATTAAGTACATGTTGTTATTTAATATTAACCAGTACGTAATTACACTGTAACAAGGACACCTTAAAAAGTGTATCCAAAAATGCTAATTTTTCCAACTTCACTTTGACTTTATAGCAATGGGTAAGAGGAAAAACAACATGAAAATGTATTTTTAGTTGTTGTATTTCATATTAATGTTAAGTGACTTATTTGGGTTTGGGGACAAACATTCATTGCCACCAACGTTTAAGTAAAAAGCATAAAATTCCAACTAACTGCAATGGGATAGAGGCAAATTCATTGCACTGCATTAATGGCTCTCCTCTGACCACAGTGTACTAGGGAAGGCTTGCCTGTGGCCATGATATAATGATGTGTACGCACGACTGGTAGCGTGTATTTGAAGATGGGGAAACAGTCAACGCCGTAATCGAGATATCTTCACATGAGGGATGTGAGGTTCTTGAAACTTTTGACATAATCAAAATAATCAGACAGCGATTCCAAGCCTTGGCTGCAGCAACTGTAGAAATCACAAATCTTTGAAGGCACTCTTCACATCACGTCTGTTCTATCCTCCACATTAAAGTTTCATATTTTTGCTATAGCTGTAAACATGAGAACACAATAAAAACCACACTGACATACAGGCATGAGTAAACTGTATATTGAAGGTAGACTGTATATTGTATATTGAAGGTATAACTGTATATTGAAGGTAAATTCATAACTATTTTACTTCTTAAATGTATCTAAAAAGTCTATAATAGACAATTTTTAATGGCAGGTTCCATAGTGACAACTTACCCCAATATAGTGTGACAACATGCTCCCCTACTGGCAGGTCCACTGAATTGTTTCTCGCATGTGCAATTACGGTGGTCATGTTCAATAGCTTTTATGTACCCAAGACCTACTATATGTGCCTACATTATTCTCAAAAATAAACCTGAGAAATATTCACAGTAAAAAATTTAAAATTGTGACTACTGGCCCGGGGCTCCCCAATAATTTGTTTATCATGTACAGCGTTTTAAAAAGGATTTCAAACGTCTGTTATTGTGAAATGTAAAAGTAAATGTAAGTCAAAGATGCAATCTGTCAATTTTTGTCCTGCGCAACGCAAATTTTAATTTGGAGCCTCTAACAGCGTTAGATAAACTTCAGTTAAACTTCAGACTGTTTAAAAAACAAAATACACCTCGGTTTTGAAGAGCTACTTTTGATATGTAAATTTATAATAAAGTCACAAAAAATTAGTGTTTTTGTCGAATATTTTATTTTATTTTTTTACACTCCCTCGAAACTGAACGCTCAACTTACTGTCTGGCGAAAGCGATGTTATTTAGTGTGTATTTGGCAGGATTTATAGCAAATGAGTGTGCAGCTTAGATACAATACAATACAATATCATATTTAGAGCATATTTCTTCTATAAAGTGACAAAGAAATCAGTATATGTACCTGCAAGACAATTTTGTCAGCTTAAACTGGTTTTTGGAACATAGTAGCTGATTTGTTACTAGTTCAAGATGGTCTACCAGCCCCAACCAGCTTGATCAGTCTTAAAAAAAAGTGTCCCACTTTATAACTGCAGTATATTTGTAATTGACCATTCAATCAGATTTTAAAACCATAATAAAAGTTTAATTTGATTTTTGACTCCTGAATGAAAAGCTATGATGATGTCAGACAAATACAAATATTTTCAGGATGACAAAGATCCTTTTTGCATATGTACTGTATATAAGAATATGAGGTTTATGTAATTTCTCATCTGTTCACCTTTGCATGTCTTCTCTTTCTATACTATTCATTTCAATCACTGACTGACACACACACAGACCTTCACTTCCCCTGAATAAGGCATTATGTGCTTGTTCAGCTTCTTTCATTACAACTGAACTCTTTCTGACTTTGTTGTTTTTACACTGTTAAAAACTATTTTTTTTTTTACAAAGAATTCAGCTGTGAACTGGTTCTGCTTTGAGATAATATATATCCTCAGCTTTAACTCTAGAAATTTCTGGGATCTGTCCAGAGAGCATTTATGTGATTTAATTAACATAAATGTTTCATCCATGGATGTGTAACGCAGACAGGTCTTCAATAAACAATTTTATCAGATTCTGGGATTGTGGTGTAATGCAACACATTAGGCAGGAGATGTTTGCTTATGCTCCATCAAAGAGCCTCCATGGTGTTCCTCTGAGCTTGATAGATTAATCGCTTAAGCACATTTAAATAGTTTTCTGTGTGCGTTTTAGCCTATACCTGTTAATGTTCATTAGTAAGATGAGGCACTGCTGCAGCCTTGACTTTTAAAACAGCCTCTAATGGCCTGCAGCAGTATATTCTGACACAGGCTAATGAAACCTGTTCTCTATAGTTGAGTATTAACAAGCAACCAAGGGAGTGGGATGACCACACTACATTCATAATACAACAGTAGGAGATGTAATACTCCTCTGAAGAGGAGGGCGGTAATTGGTCACTGAACTTAAATTTGGTATGTGTGCTAAATCCCAGCTTTTCTTGAAACCTTTGACAAGATCCCAAGAGGATCCCAATTAAAGGTGTAATACTGAATATATTGCTCAACACAGTCTTATAAATAAGGCCGGTCAGAGGAAGTGCTTGGCAAGCAGTTTGCGGTGCATCTGGACAGGGTCTGATATATTGATCGGTGCATTCACGTTTTGATTGAACACCACAGGGCAAATATTTATGCAAAGATAGTGAGTGGGAGTTCTTCATTGGGAGTGTACATTTTCGAAAACAACAGGATAGATTAAATGTATGTTTTATGTAATGTACAATATGGGATATAATGAAATGATGTTCATAAAAAGACTGAATTGTGGAAGTGAAGCGTTTCAGGACCATGGACAGCTCTCCTGCTGTTTAAAATGGTGAGCAGTGACGATGAGTTAGTCAATAGGTGGGAATACATTTAGAAACATAAAGGATACATTAAGTCTTTAAAAATAATTTTCTAGCATTAAAGCTAACTGGATGAACAGTGGAGCTTCTACTCATTATGATGTCAAAATGCAATATATGACTATTGTGCACTGCTCTGCATTCTTTTTAATCACACACAAACACAAAATGAATTAAGCTGACTGTTTTTTAAGAGTAAGGATCATTTTCTCTCTTATTTCTGCTGATATTACACTCAATGGAAAATTAAGGAGAGAGCAAGGCCATGTTTTTTATACTATCAGAATATTTGAGTGTCTTGAGTACAAGCAAATGTAAAATAACTTTAGTAAGCAGAGCTGCATCCATTCCTTCAGTTTAAGTCTCTGTAAAGAAACTTTATGTTTGATTATGCTTAAAATAATGACATAAAAACGAAAAATAGTATTTCTAGATTCTTAAAGGAATAGTTCACCCGAAAATGAAAATTTGCTGAAAATCTACCCACCAAGCCATCCAATATGTAGATGAGTTTGTTTCTTCATCAAAACAGATTTGGAGAAATTCAGCATTACGTCACTTGCTCTCCAATGGTTCCTCTGCAGTGAATGGGTGCCGTCAGAATGAGAGTTTAAACAGCTGAGTTAGGGTTAGGTTATCTTGTGAAGTGAAAACCTGCATGTTTGTAATAAACAAATCCATCAAGACATTTTTAACTTCAAACTTGCTTCCTGCTAAACTACAAGTCCTTTATCCATAATATCACTTTCTCAAGTGAAAAGGTCATGTCATCTGAATCAGGAGAGAATAATGAACAGACCAAGCACCATTTACATGCAAAACTAGTCCAAAAAGTTCTAAAATGGATTATGGACTCATGTTTTGGCCAGAAGCAAGGGTTTACAGTTAAAATGTGTTAATGATAGATTTATTACAAATACACAGCTTTTTGCTTCACGAGACATTAAATGATGGGCTGGAGTTGTGTGGATTACTTGTGGATTTTTGTGAAGTTTTTATCAGCTGTTTGGACTCTCATTCTGACTTATTGAGTGATGTAATGCTAAATTTCTCCAATTTGTTCCCAATGAAGAAACAAATTAATTTACATCTTGGATGGACTGAGGTTTTTTATTTTCTTAGCAAATTTTCATTTTTCATTCAACCCAACACAACTCTCTTGACTCTACTTTAACTATAGAACACTTTCAACACCACAAGTGGAACCAAAGTGCTGTACAGAGAAAGATAAAAGGGAAAATAGAAACAAAAACATAAAATCAATGCAAACATATGACATACACAGCTTATAAAGCATTTCCAAATGCTAAAGAAAACAAAAAAGTTTTAAGCACACTCTGTTTACACCCAATGTAGGAAAAGATTTTACAGACAGAGGAAGGTCATTCCAGAGCCTAGGAGCTGCAACAGAGAATGTCAGATCACCTTTACATTTTAAACGAGATCGCGGAACCATAAGGAGCAATTGATCATTTGAGAGAGATCTACTAGATTAACATAAACTGATTAAATCAGTAACATACTCTGGTGCTAGGCCATGTAGAGCCTTAAAAACATACAACAACACTTTCTGAATTTTGTATCGTATGGGTAACCAATGCAGATTGTTTAACACAGGAGTAATATGCTCTCTCTTCTTAGTACCCGTTAAAAGTTCTGAACAAGCTGCAAATGAGAGAGAAAGAGGCTTGACTCACCCAGATACAACACATTACAGTAATCCAAACGGGATGACACAAGAGCATGAACAACCTACTCCATATCTTCAAAAGAGAGGATAGACTTAAATTTAGCTATTGATCTAAGATGGAAAAAAATATTCTTAACAACAGCGTTAATTTGCTGATCAAATTTAAGCTCAGATTCAAAAATGACACCAAGGTTTCTCACGCTAGACAGTTTTTCCCCCCAAGAAACAACCCCAGGCAATCATAAACACCCTCTACACACCCCTTATTACCAAATAAAATCTCTGTCTTATTCTCATTCAATTGGAAAAAGTTTTTCACCAACCAGCACTTAACCTCAGTCAAACATTCATGCAGGGACTGAATGGCACATTTCTGCCCATGTTTCAGTGGTAAATAAATTTGAGAATCATCCACATACAAATGATAGTGAATCCAAAATTTCTCAAAAATAGAACCTAGAGGAAGCATTTAAAGGGAAAATAAAATTGGTACTAGAATAGAACCCTGATTAACCCCCCACACAAGAGGGTGTGTATCTTAGATTAAAAAAAAAGGCAATTTCGAAATGGGGTGAAAACTACTCATGTTAAAGGGTCTAGGCCAGTTTTTAAACGAACTGGACTTATGATACATAGAGAGCTGTATAAAGAACATGTTCATCTTTATAAGGATGTTCTTTCTGCTGCCAAACATGAGTTTTATTCGCATTTAATTGAGCCTGGAGATTGT